GCATCGCTGGGCTCCAGGTAATTACACAGTTCTGTCACCATGGGCCGCGGACGGGCCCCAACACCCGAGGGTTGTCTGAGACCCAGGGCTTGCTCTTCAGCCGTCAGGACAGTCACGATAGTCGAGAGAATAGCCTGAAGCACAATAGTGATTTTTATGCACATTTGTTTGTCGTATCACCACTGCGAAAAGATACAAGAAATTCGACTTCCCACTGCCGTCCAGGACCAGTGTACAAATGCAGTGCCCTTATTAAAATAAACTGAGCTGAGTCGAATTGGCGGCATGTTATCTGTGTCCCTAAGAAGAAGGACGTATAATTGTCTCACTGAATCCATTAGAGAGCTGAAGAACTGATGACGGTTTATATAAACTGCGTCTGACTTCCCAGAAGAGTTAAACGTGAGTCAACGTATCGGTACTGAAGATGGAGTACTCGGGTACATCACAAGATCTGGTGGCACGGATATGATGTGGTGCTACGGTCTTCCAAAGAAAGAAAATATGGTGTCCCTCCTAGTTTAAACCACTGCAGCATACGAGCTGATATAATGTCTACTTCCACGTCTCACTATTCGCAATCCTAATGCGATCGCTGCAACTGGCTTTAAAAGCGAATATTCAAATAAGCCTATTAAATATCGCCTTCCCTTAAATAAGATATAGTGACTTTTCCTACCACTCCGTTTACGTGTCGAATAACTGGGAGTCGTTGTCAATTGAAAGAAAACAAAGATTATAAAACGGGACGCCTAGGCCAGGTTCTTGCTTGAGCAGAAGTTTTTAGAGATGCCTTAGGCTTTCTATGGACAAATTAACTCACGTACTCGCAGAAGGTGTAGCTTTGCAAAACCTTGTGGTCACAACATTTCCAAAATAGGCTAAAGCCTTGGAATTGATATATTGGTAGAGGCTTAGACTCTACTTGGACTTAGGCGGTGACTCTGTCAGCACTTTAGTGTAATCGTTAGAAAAATACTATTTAAGATAAGAGAAAAGGATGTCTACGCGGTCTTTTTGGGTTAATTCCTACCGCACAAACTGCAGTGGTACTAAATCCCGTGCAAGGGACAGAAATAGACTCTTTCTGGAAAGGATAAACCTCCAAAGGACGTTAATTAATTGTCAGAAACCTGAGTTCGATTGTAGCAAGCTGAAATGCAATACTGACGAAATAAAACATGTCTGACATGGTTCCAAAACCATTGGCTATCCATATGTTTTCGTAAAAGGATACATGCAACTGTAAATAGTCCTATTTTGTTTACTGCTCGGGAGCTCAAAATATCTTGAGATTTCAGTCACACTCAACCGATAATTTATTTAAATTAAAACGATTGGGTGGAAACTTCCAGTACTATGACAGCCCCCATCGGAAATTGTCTGCCCCATTTGATTCAACTGTGGACAAAATGTCTGACGGAATGGCACGAGTTCTCACACTGTGACAAATTGATCAGGCCTGAGTTGGGAGAGTGGAGGAGATTTTACTTTTATGCCGGTATGCGCACTCAATCGTTCAGAGATCAACATCCTCTCAAGGGATGGCAAACGTGCGAGCCGTCAGTAGTTTGAGTCATGGTTTACTGCCCTCGAAGCTATCGATCGATGTAAAGGCCTTTTTCGTCGTATAAGACACGGCGACCGCGAACGCAAACATGGGAAGAAAGAATACCGATGGCCGCGTTTGCGAAACCAAAATCATGTCATTTCAAAACACCCCCAATGATGCTATTGTTAATTTTTCCCGATAATTAAATTAATTCCTACTACCTCTACCAGCACTGCAGTTACGGGCTCAAAAAAATCAATTTACTCCGATCGATATCCTCACGTTCGAGCCGCCCTCTTTAGAATTCGAGGAAAATAGCTTCTGTAACAACCGTCCACATGCCAAAAGTTACTCTTTAATGCTTAATCGCCAAAGTGTCTGGCTAACTTAGAGGTCGACGTCAGTGGCGGCTCTTTATGCTTGTAACTCCTGATGATTAGCCTTATGGAATGCTGTAGAAATCCAACTCTAATGATGTGCATAAAAGGAATCAGACTTCCCCACAGCCCCAGAATTTGCGACGCAAACTCACCTCGTCCTGCTGTAGACTCTGCTTACTCGGATTTCGCAACCGCCTTAGCAAAAGGCAGTTCCACTTTTGACGAAGATCAACAATTAATTTGGCGACCTCGAGTTCACAGTCAAAAGTCAGTATCCCGTTCGGACCATCCAAATGCACTGTAACTCGTTTCGTTCCATCGCCTTCGTGATGAAGAGCCTGGTAACGAGAAGACAATCTGGAGGATGACTGATCTGCTTTCTCGATATTTTCCACAGCGTTGTCTTGAGGAAACAGATAAGGCCTTATTTGCTTTGATATGATGGATACCTTTTCCTCCCTTTCTAGTCTTTCGGAAATAGAGATGTCTTCGTCATCACTGTCTGGTAGGCAGTCGAAGTTGATAAGGTGGAGTATACTCTGGAGTCCACTTCCTAAAACTGGACTTCTGAAACTGGCCTTTGGGTCGCCATTCAGTCGATTACCTGAGCTTGATAATTCTTGAAAAGAGATTGAGAAACAGACTCAAAATCGTGTAGGTAAAGAAGTGTGTACGAGATTAGTTCCGTAAAAACAGCGGTCATAACTTTAAGTGAAAAGTTCTCTACAGCAGGCATTCAGAGGGAAAACAACTCTGGAAGATAACAAACTATTTATTGATGGGGTTTCCGGGTGCGGCTAACACTTCAGCTAACCGGAAAATGTTTCGACAGTTGTTGAACGTTCTTGGTTTCATCTATTTTGCATAACTAAGATAACAAATTACGTTCGGTATGTGACGAAATTTGAAAGACTGAAAAACTGTTATCCGCAAAGACCGGGATAGCTGTAATAGTCATGATTGGTCTACTTTCCATCTGTAGCCGGCCACCTATTTTCCTACTCATATAAAAAAATCCTATTCTCTTCTACAATCTAACTAGGTAATCGATCGCCATGCTCACTCACATTTGCAGATTGACTCAAAAATATAATAACGTGTTTGAGGTTTTACAATGGAGAATAACACGCTAACACTTCATAAAAATGAACACTCAAGTTCGTCAATCCGGTGCAAAAAAGTAAAATAGTTTAATATTGTTTGCACACGGAAGCGATAATTTCAGTAAAAGTAAAAAAAAACAGAAATTCCCGGACAAAAATGTTCACTTTGTCTCCTTAAAGTAGCTGAACCTTTTTGCGAACTTCATGAGGTGGCATGCCCGAAAAATTCGGTTGCACTGCACAGCTCGCATAAACTGAAATGCAGGTATTTTCATCTCCTTTGTGTCGATTTGCCAGACAAAATTGTCTTTAAATATCTGTTCAATTTCCCTAAACTGCACTGTTTGTTTTTCTGGACGGACAACAACTCTGCAGGGGTTTCCTCGCGCGGCATGTGTTGTACAATCGGATAGGTTGACTTTTGGTTTTTGATGCTTACATGACTCCGGGTCTCTTCTTATCGCTAGTAGTCACGGGTTGCTAGTAGCGTCTGTTGCATTGCCTACAAGTTCATACCAGAATTCCGTGACCAAACGTCCAATAATTGAGATCAAAAGTTATTTGGATCTACAGTAAAATATCAACCTCTTCTTTTATTGTTCGTTCCAATATATTGAGCAATGGAGTCCAACGTATCATAGATTAGCCGTGAAGGATTCAGATAGTAGAATTGAAACTCTGTCACAGAATTATTAATGATACAGTTTATAAAAAACCTCGTGATCTTGCTGTCCCTGGACATTCATCCAGGAACGAAGGATTGTCCAACTAGGGCATGCTTTATATTTCCGAGTAATATTACATCATCTAACTGCATTCATTAGAGAAATCTGGATCTACCGAGATTATGTCGTTTGAAATACCTTCCAATAATTCACTTTGCTTTTATTTTTTTCGCTGGATCACCTAGAATATCAGTGTGTTCTGGCAACTTGTACGTATCTGCTTAGTTTAACTAACCTATTGAATGTAATCAGACGGAGGATAGGTCTAACAGTTTTCTTTATGATAATCATCTGACCGTCGGCTCACAGTAACTGCTCCAAATGCAGATGAGGGAGCTCAAGATTCACTTATTTCCTTTCTTTGAAGCATCTTTTCCCAGATAAAAATTTGAAGATGGCTTGTATAGCAGAATTTAATGGAACCATAAATTTCGCGAGCGCTCATCAGCTGCATCCACTCGCTGCATAAACTAAGTAACGAATGAGAAAATACAGAATTGAATTCATACAGAAAAATCGATACAAAAACATCAAGGTCACAAGAATTGGCCAAGGGGCAGTCAATAAAGTAGGAAATTTAAACGCTGTAGGCTGCAAAAAACGGTATAAAAACGTCTAAGGCAAAAAGTTGGGAAGGAGAATGTGTAAACAGGAAGCCGGTGCTACCATGGCAGAGTTAGATTCACCACATGCTCCAGTTGTTTACATAGGTCAGGTTTAAACCGCCGTACGTATGCTGCCTCCAGGTAGCGTAAGATACGAACACAAAGGCAATTGACAGCCACAGCTAAGGAACACTTGCTGAGTTGGCTATTAAAACAGGATAATAGAACTCCTCATTCTTCCATTACGGAACATGGACCATTCTGTAGACCCTGAAACATCTTTCCGAGTACCTGTTCGGGCATGAACAACTCGTATCTGACGCTACCCGGAGGCAGCATAA